GTGGAATACCATCAAGCCAAAGGAGAGAGAGAGAGAGAAAAGGACAGAAAGAATATTTGAAGAAATAATGGCTGACAGAGATTAGATAAGCCCATAAAATAAAACGAGACTAAATGGGCACCAGCCCAGGGCAAGGATGAGAGGCAGGAGGGGACAGTAAAGCAGGAGTGTTGACATGTCATGGGGTTGGCAACCAGTGTCACAAAACGATATGTATATTGTTTATGAGAAACTGGTTTGCTCTGTAAACCTTCGTCTAAAGTACGATAAAAAAAAAAAGGATGAAATATCCCAGATTTGATGACTCATGTTTTTCATGTGATGTACACATCCAAGAAGCTCAACGAACTCCAGGCAAGTGAGATAAAGAGATTCATACTGAGGTACGTTATCTTCAAATTATTAAAAGATGAATACAGAGAATCTCAAAAGTGGCAAGAGAGATGCAACTCATCACATACAAGGGATCCTCAGTAAGATTAACAGGCGATTTCTCAGCGGGAACCATGAAGGCCAGAAAGTAGTTAGATGACTAGATGACTTATTTGAAGAACTGAAAAGAAAAGAAAAAAAAACCTGTCAACAAAGATTTCTATATCTTTTGAAACTATCCATCAAGAAAGGAGAAATTAAGACAACTGAGGGAGTTCATCACCAGTAGACTAGCTCTGAAGGAAGTCTTTCAGGCTGAAATGAAAGAACACTAGAAAATAAAGCCATTTGAAGAAATAAAGAGCTCCAGTAACGGTAACTACGTAGGCAAATATAAAAGCCAGATCATTGGGTTTTTGGTTTGTAACTTCTCTTTTTCTTTCTTATATGATTTTAAAAGCAAATACATAGAACAATAATTATAAATCTATGTTAATGAACACAATGTATAAAGATGTGATTTGTGACAGTAGCAACATAAAGGGAGGGTGGAACTGGATAGAAGCAGTTCAGAATGCTATGAAGTTCGGTTCATGTCAAGTCAAAGAAGATTATTATAAATGTAAGATGTTAATTGTAGTCTCTGTGGTAACTTATAGGAAAACAACTAAAAATATACAGAAAAGGAATTGAGCGATCACAATGGCACACTTGAAAAAATCAAATACAAAAATTGGCAGTATTGGAGGAAGTGAGGAACAAAAAAGGTATAAGGAATACAGAAAACAAATAGCAAAATGGTAAGTCCTTATCATTATTCACTTTAAATGTAAAAGGATTAAACTGTCCAATTAAAAGACAGAGTCTGGCAGAATGGATGAAAACACATGATCCAAATATAGGCTGTCTACAAGAGATTCACTTTAGATCCAAAGAAACCAATAGGTGAAAGGATAGAAAAAAAATACTCCATGCGAATATTAACCAAAGAGAATTGGGTGACTATTCTAATGTTAGACAAAACAGACTTTAAGTCAAAAATTGTTACAAGAGACAAAGAAGGCCAGTAAGTAAAAGGGTCAGTTCATCAAGAAGACAACAGTTGTTAACATCTATATACCGAACAACAGATCCCAAAATACGGGATGCAAACATGGACAGAATTGAAGGGAGAAATAGGTGGTTTTACAGCAATAGTTGGAGATTTCAGTACCCCACTTTCAGTAATGGATAGAACATCGAGACAGAAGATCAATAAGGAAATAGAGAACCGAACCACAGTATAACCCAACTAGACCTAACAGGCGTATGTAGACTACTCCACGCAACAGCAGTACAAAGCGCTTTTTCCTTTAGTGCACATGGGACCTTCATCAGGGTAGACCATATGTTAAGCCGCAAAAGTCTCAGGTTTAAAAAGATTAATGTTATTCAAAATATCTTCTCTGACCACAGTGGAATAAAGCTAGAAGGAAAACTGGAAAATTTACAAATATGTGAAAAATAACAGTTAACCAGTGCATCAAAAAAGAAATCACAAAGATAATTAGAAAATACTTCCAGATACACGAAAAGGAAAATACAACATATCAACACTTACATGATGTAGTGAAAGCAGTTCTCAGAGGGGAATTTATAGCTGTAAACACCTACGTTAAAAAAGAAAGATCTGAAATCCATAACCTAAATTGTCATGTCAAGGAACTCGATTAAATGGGATAATTTAGAGAACTAATCTAATACAGTGCTTATAGAACCTGTAGGGTCCCTGTGAGTCAGAATTGACTTGACAGCAATGGGTTTGGCTTTTTGGTTAATGGGAGCTTGGAATACAGTAGGCGCTTAATAAGTATTAGTCTCACCACACCCTAGTGGCGCAGTCACTAAAGTGATTGCTAACCAAAAGGTTGGCGGTTCAAAACCCCCAGCGGCTCCACGGGAGAAAGACTTGTCTGTCTGCTTCCATAGAGATTTACAGCCTTGGGAACCCTACGGTGTTGCCTGAGTTGGAACTGACTTGACGGCAGTGGGTTTTTTGGTTTAGTCTCTCATACCACTACGACTTGTCACTGACACTGCTTTGAAAATGAATGTAGGGAACTATTTATAGCAGTGTTTCCTTCCACTTTTGCTGCTTGCAGTTAGTTTGGTGGGTTGTGTTTATATATTCTTATTCTATTTCTTACTGAGACATTATTCAGATACCATTGATGTCGCTCTTTTAAAAGATACGTTTCAGTAGGTTTTAGTATATTCACAAAATTGCGCAGTCATCACAACTCTGTAATTCAAGAACATTTTCATTAATCCAGAAAGAAACCTCCTACCAGTTAACAGTCACTCCCCAGCCTTTAGCAACCACGAATCTATTTTCTGTTTCCTGGATTTGCCTTTTCTGGACATTGAATGTAAATGGAATTAGACAGTGTGCGGCCTTTTGTGTCTGATTTCTTCCGCTTAGCATAATGTTTTCAAGGTTCATTCACACTGTAATATGTATTAGGACTTCCGTACTTTTTATTACTAACTAATACTTCATTGTCTGGCCGTACCACATTTTTAAAATTCATTTTTCGTTTAATGGACATTTGGATTGTTTCTACTTTTTGGCTATTATGAATAGTGCTGCCGTGAACATTTACATCCAAGTGTTTGTATGGACACAGGTTTTCATTTCTCTTGGGTATATGCCTGCGATTAAAATTACTGGGTTCTATGGTAACTCTGTGTTCGACCTTTGAGGAAGTGCCAGACTGTTTTCCAAAGCAGCTGCACCATTTTACATTTCCACCAACAGTACATGAGGGTTGCAGGTCCTCTACATCTTGCCATCTCGTGTTATCATTTCTCTTTTTATGTTAGCCATCGTAGTGGGTATGAAAGGAGCCCTGGTGGCACAGTGGTTAAAGCGCTTGGCTGCAAACTGCAAGGTCAATGGTTCGAGCCCACCAGCCACCCCACGGGAGAAAAGACCTGGCGATCTCCTCCTGTAAACATTTACAGCGTGGGAGGCCCTGTGGGGGCAGTTCTACTCTGTTATATAGGGTTACTGTGAGTCGGAATCTCTTGATGGCACACGACCACAGTGGGTATGAAGTGTGGTATTTCACTGTGGTTTTGGTTAGCATTTCCCTCATGACTAATCATGTTGAGCACCTTTTTATGGGCTGATTGGCTGTTTGTATATCTTCTTTAGAGAAATGTCTATTCAAACTCTTTCTCCATTTTTAAATTGGGTTCTTTCTTTTTATTGTGGAGTTGTGAGAGTTCGTTATATATTCTGGATTAAGCCCCTTATCAGGTACGTGACTTCCAAATATTTTCTCCAATTTGTGGGTTGTATTTTCACTTTTTGATAGTTGTCTTTTGAAATGCAACAGTTTTTAATTTTGATGAAGTCCAATTTAACTATTTTTTTCTTTGATTTCTTATGATTTTGGTGCTGTAGTTAAGAAACTTTGTTGAAAATCCATTGCCCATAAACTTAAGGGTGTATTTCTGGACTCTCAATTCTATGCTAGTGATCTGCTTGTCTTTCCTCATGCCAGTATCAATCTCACTATTTCAATTACTGTCGCTTTGTAGTAAGTTTTGAAAATGAGACGTGTGAGTCCTCCAACTTTGTTTTTCTTTTTCAAGATTAGTTTGGCTCTTCTGGAAATCCCTTGCAATTCCCCATGAATTTTAGGATCAGCTTGTCAAATGTTGTAGAAAAGGTGGCTGATATTTTGATAGGGATTGTGTTAAATACGTAGATCAGTTCGAGGAGTGTTGCTGTTGTTGTTAGAGCCTTAGAGTCGTTTCCAACTCCTAGTGACCCCACGTGACCGAGTAGAACTGCCCCATACGTAATCTTTATGCAAGCAGGTCGCTAGGTCTTTCTCCCGCAGAGCATCTGGGTGAGTTCGAACCGCCAACGTTTCGGTTAGCAACCGGGTGCTTAACTGTTTGCACCACCAGGGCTCCTTGAGGACAGTTGCTGTCTTACACTATTAAGTCTTCAATCCGTGGACATAGGGTTTCTCTCAATTTATTTACATATTTAATCTTTTTAATGATGTTTTATAATTTTCAGTGTCTTATACTTTGTTGTATTTATTAAGTAGTTTATCCTTTTTCATGCTATTGTAAATGACATTATTTTCTTGATTTCATTTTTGGTGGTTCATGGTTAGTGTATAGAAATGGAATTTATTTTTGTATATTAACTTTGTATCCTGCAACCTTGCTGAACTCCTTGATTAGTTCTAATAGATTTTTTATGAATTCCTGAGTATTTTCTACATACAAAATCATGTCATCTGAGAACAGAGATTGCTTTATTTCTTCCTTTCCAATATGGATGTCTGTTATTTCCTTGTCTTGCCTAATTGCCCTCGCAAGAACCTCCAATCAGTGTAGCATAGAAGCAACTGTGTGTTGCCTTTTTTATGAAATGGTGATAAGATATAAAAAATACTTTATGCCCATCAATATTGGAGTATAGTGGCTTCATGAAATTAGTATAATTATATCTGTGGGTTAGTGATTGGGCTGTTCTATTTGGTATAAAAAACATGTAACAATGTTTTTGTTTTTAGTATTGGTTGAAGAACATTTTAACAGTTTCTTTTTTTTTCTTCTTCCAGGTTTTCTCAAACAGTGATGAAGGCCTTATTAACAAAAAGTTACCCAAGGAACTTCTCTTAAGGTAAGTGTAGATATGTTTTAGGTAAGTTCAGATTTGATTAGTCATCAAGTTCCAAGAGTATCTTTTTTCTCACTATGAGTCCATAGCATAGAAAAAAAGAAGTAGCCTAACTGACTTTTTGTTTTTGTTTTATAGAATGCTGTTCAGCTTGTTGTTAAATTTTACTTGATCGAATCCAGAACGTACTAAAGTATGTACATAGCATGGGTCTGGATTCTTTTGGTAATGTGGTAAGTATTGTAATAGTCTCCAGTAGGTGCCACTGTTTGGTATCAGTAGATGGTTGTCATGTCGTCAGTAATATGAAGAGGGAGTATTGCTAAGGTTGTGAGCTCCTAAAGTCACAGACTTTTAGATGTTGTCGGATAAATGGGTTTTAAAATGAGTGCAGAAAATAAGTATAGGCATGGTATGTTCTCCTTAAACACTTAAAATGCTGTCAACCCCAAATACTGATTTTTTTTTTTTTACTCATTTTATGAGCATTATATGCTGACAGTGAGTACTATAAAACAGGCTTTTTGGTTTTTGTTTATTTCTAGTATCCCTCTATATACAGTAAATGTTATTTTGCCTGTTATTTTACCAAGGAAAGCTCTCAACCAACATTTGTTGACCCTGAGATATTGCCATTTTCTTTAGTACTCTGTAATCATCAAAGAAATCTTACTTTAGTTTAGGGTGTTGTTACATTTTAACTCTTCACAAAAATTAATACAAGTACACACGGTGATCTTTGAATGGCATTTCCCAAACTCTGTTTCTCGTATCGCCAATATCCACAGAACAAAACAGGCAGCAGGTTCTGTGACCAAATAAGTGTGGGAAACACTGGGTTAAACAAAACCAATTTTTTTTACTTTTTAATTTTACTTTAGGATTTTTCAGAGCCACAGTAGGCTAATGTGTATGGTGATGCTTCAAGATGGGTAGTTGTGGCATTTCAAACTTACTTCCTGTCTGTGGAGGCCTTTTCCTATCTCATGGGCAACTTCTGGGAAATGCTGACCTAGAGTAGGAGATTGACCAGATGACTCTCTTCTCTGACCTAGCTAAATCTCATTTTAACATTTGGGGAATGAGTATGAGTTTTGTTTAAGTATTGGGAGTAATTCTTGTCATCTGTCCCTGAGTCTACCACAGAGTCACTTTGTAAATGCCACAGGTTAAAAACGAACACTAAACCCATTGCCATTGACTTGATTCCGACTCATAGCAGCCCTGTAGGACAGAGCAGAACTGCCCCATAGGGTTTCCAAACAGTGGCTGGTGGATTCGAACTGCCAACCTTTTGGTGAGCAGCCAAGCTCTTAACCACTGCGCCACCAGGGCTCTGGTGTGAGGACTCAGCTTGGCGGTAGTGGTCACATTTCAGAGGCTTCAGTGGGATTTTTCCTTAGCCATCCTGTGTTATTTGGCACTGTTGTCATGAGCTCATTCTACTCAGTATATATTTAAAAAAAAAACTGATTGACAGGATCATATGAAAAGTGTCACAATTATATTTTATCCCAGTAAAACCAATATTTGTTTGGATAGATAGAATATCCTTGGACGTTTGAATCATCTTAAGGTAAGAAAGCTGTGAAAAGGAAGGCGTGTGTGTGTATCATATAAACCCATGAGGTCTTGATCAAGCACACTAAACTGTCAGAACCAGTATTGCTGGGTGAGGGCAGGCATCAGCAACTACAAGGGACACCACCCACAACAGACTGCAATGTGTACGGTGTCCACAGAATTGTGCAGTGTGCAGCACCCGGCCAGAGCACTGTTCTAGCACAGATGTCCAGCTATAATACGAATATGGCCTCCTTACTCTGGGGAACCGTAGCCAACTTCAGGCTGACCCATATTAGTCACTCATCCCTGGGATGTCATTAAACTCCACCCTTTGCATGATTACTGCTACTGACTGTGACTCAAGGATATTAATTTAGTATTTTTTCACATCTGGTAGGGTAGCTTTTACACTCTACCCAGCCACGGAGTGGTTTCTGTCTGCTGGGGAAAAAAAGAGGCGGGGAGGATAGGCCATGTAAAAGACCAGTAAAGAATTAAGGAATTATATTCACTTTTTGTGATAGTGTAATTTCTAAACCGAAGTCCTAGAAATAATTTTAGTTCTTTTAAAGACCCATGATGATCCCAGCGGTTCAGAATCCTGGAGGCTGTCATTGCTAGTTGTAGCTTTTAAATCATACCACAAGGCTCGCTCATACATCATTTTTCTCAAAAGATTTGCCATTTGAGAGCAAGTGTTCATAACACGTCTCATCATAGATTTGCCTCCCCACTTCTGTTCTCATTTTGGAGCCTGTAAGGGGAATTTAAAGTACTGCTACTACAGGTCTCTGACTCCTGAATCTCAAAATTAACTCTCGCCAACCAGAGTATTTTTGGTTTTTTGTTTATTTACTTTTTGGTGGACTTAAATCATTTCTGCCATTTTATCCTGAGAATTTGTATTCTCAGTAATAGTAGCTCTCCCATTCCCTAGCTCTAGTCTTTCTAAGCCAAACTTCGAAGGAGGATTTGAACCAGTTACCAAAGCAGCCACCTTCATCGTCTGTTAATTTCACAACTGTGCGTGCGACAAAGGCCCCACCCTCGTGGAACGGATGTCTTATTTTCTGCTCTGTTAAATGATGTCTTCTCCTTTCGGTCTTCCCTAGGCTTACGTTTTCGCTGCATATTGTAGACTTCTTTATGGCAGTGCAGACTCTTGTCTGTCTTCTTGTTGAATTCCTGTTCACCTTTGGTGTTACTTCATCAATAGATGTGAATTCTTTGACTTTATGATAATCTTACTTGCTTTCAGCCAAGGTCATTTTCTCTTCTGCTATTTTTGAGTGCCATCCATTACCACCCTCTTAAATTCTCCCGAGCTTCCATTGCCAATCACGTCAGGTGAAGCTGCGGCTTCTACTCTGGAACCTTTAACAAGCATAACCTGGAATGATGGTCGTGCCTCTTTTCATCTCTTTGTATTACTTTGAATTCAATCAGAAGAATCTGTTAGTGTCGCTTTCATCTGATCGTCTTGTTGCTAATTTTAAGAATACCCAATGCTGTTAATTCACTGATTACTTCCACTGTCTATCCTTAGTTTGTTACTCAACAACTTTTTACAATTTTGCTTTTTTACCCAGCCTTCACTCATAAATGAAAGGTAGTCACATTCTTCCTCTTTGCCCTTTGCTCCTCAGCAAACAGCTTGTGATTTTATGCTTTCTGGGGATTCAGTTATATAATGCTTACAACAATGGGAGTATTTGATTTATTGTAACCTGTAGTGAGTCGGTTTGCCCTTGCATATGCTTGTCCTCATCATTATAGTCGCTGTTACTTCTGGAGCCAGACTTTCTGGGATGACATTTCAGCTCTCCCCGTCTATTAGTTGTGTGGCCTTCATCAAGTTCATTGTTTCTCTGGGCTTTAACTTCATCATCTGTCAAATGGTAATAATCGTTCTTACTCTGTGGGGTCGTTGCTACCAGCTTAGAGTACTTGGCACTTAATAAATGTTAACCCTTATTGTTATTGACTAATATCAATTCTGGATGCCTGAATACTTAATTAATGATATTTACTGCTGCAGTAGATTTTAATGCAACAACTGATAAAGCAAGCTGTCCTGCTATGGATCTTAATGTATGCTATTGCTAAAAATATCTCGGTAAAGGACCTGAATATTAAGTAAGTCTCCACAGCCCAATGTTTCATTTCGTCAAGATGGCCTAGTTCATTTCAACGGAAATGCGTACTATGATTTTATATTCAACTAGCAACTACTAGGGCTTAAGCAGATTTGTCGTGGTGTTGTGACAACTGATAATTATTTTGGTATTATAAAAATGACAGTATCTTGGAAAGAACTGTCTGTTTTTTGAGAACAGAAGTCTATGTGAGTTGACCGTTGGCCTAAAACTCAGATTGTACATTTTAATACTAATTTGTTTGACCTTAAGTTTTGATTTCCGTTATGGTCGCTCTCACATGTTGCTGATGAAATGAAGACACACGTAAACTACTTCACAAGAGAGAGTGGGTGAGACCCGCAGGACACAGTTCAAAACGTTCTGAGAAGACGGAGTTCTTGTTAGCAATAAATAACAACGAAAGGAATCTCTTACTAGACAGATTAAAAAAAAATAACCTAAGTCGTCATTTATGTAATGTCTTTCTTTTTTAAACTTAACATGTATACATTGCAAAATGGTGTATGTTGGCTGGATGAAGGACGGTTTACTTGCCTCAAATGAGAGAGCTGAGTCTAATAATTTTGGGCAGTATGGAATGAAACTACATAATTACATATAATTTAGCAGTTTTAGTAGTTGAATCTGCTAGGGAAAATTGTAAAATGACTAGTGATTAAATTCTCAAATACTCCTTTTTGAAAATATGTAAGCCAATCCCGCGAGTGAGATTGTGGTTTTCGCTGGAATCTTTAAGTTACAGCCCAGTGTTTGCAAGTAATCACAGAACCTAGGGCAGCCCTGTAGTAAGGGGCTCATTCCTGTTGTGGGTGTATCATTGAGAGGGTTATTCTTGCCTGCTGATTGGTTTCAGCACTCCATGGACTTTTTCAAGGATGAATGCCCCTACCTCCTGCTGTCTGTGATGCTGGCTGCTTTATGTATATTCCAAGGCAGCCTAACAGGTAAGATGCTCTTTTAGGGGTTCACACTACAACTTCAAGTTATCAAATATCTACGCAGGTTATTTTGTTGTTGTTAAAGGGTTTAATTGGTTTGTTTTTATTTTTTACCTTGCATGAGGCAAAATAAGATGCAGAAGCATAAAAGCCCTTTTCATTACGCATAAAAGCCCTTTTCATTACCTCTCTACATTATTTGACACTATTTTAGGGTTGGCATTTAAGCCCAAATCATGGCAGAAGCAGATTTTCGTTAGTCCAAGTTGGAGTTATCCTCGTACATTAAAACCTTGATAATGCCTTTGAATTTTTTGTCTACATTGAGGTGGCCCGAAAC